GATGTGACATGGGGATAGGAGCCATGTCTTTGTTGGGAAAGGAAAACTTCCCCAGAAATCCCTGACAGACTTCTGTTTATGCTTCTTTGGTTGTAATGGGTTACTCAGTCCTAGTAGCAAGAGAGGCTGAGATAGAAAATGTTTCAGTTGGGCACATTGTGTACCTGAACAAAATCAGGATTATGCCAGGAAAGAAGAAAAAGAAAAGAAACACTGAGTAAGCAACAAGTACCATCTGCCATAACAGTGTTCCATTTTTATTTCCATTTGCCTCATAAGACCCAGTCTGGATCAACTTCTGTCCTTAGTTTTTCATACATAATTATGTTCACTGTTTTACCAACTACAGAAAATAAAATATCATTAGCCAAAAGCAATGAAAGCAAAACCAGTCAAATTGAGTCTTATATATTAGTATTTAATACACTGCAAATTCCTAATGGGGAAATTTCAGGATCACTCTTTCCCTCAAACTTAAACCTGCTGCTTACCCACCTAACATTTTCATATATGCTTTAGAAGGCAAGTCTCCTTTCCCTTCTTTCTTTGCTCTCCTACCCTTTTCCCTGGGAGTCAGAGCTCTATAGCTGCCTTTCATCAAAGGCATAAAAGGTATCCTTCAGGACTGTTGTGAAGGACAGGGCTAATCATTTCATCTGTAATTAAAAAGAAAATACCAATAAAGATAGTGTAATAAATGTAATTTAACCCAGTGGTCATTTTAATTATATTCTTCTATTAGTAAAATATTTCTATCATGCCCTCGCTATATGTATAAATTTATATATATTATATATATAGTTCACATATTATATAGTTTACATATATTTATATATAAATTTTACACACACACACACACACACACACACACACCCCACCTATCCATTTATTCTATCAGCCTTTACCTATTTCTTTTAACGTGACCTAGCCTTTCACTCCATCTCATGTGGTGTCATCCTTCAAGTGTCCTACCCTCAGTATTTCCCTCAGTTTTAACCTTCCTTGTCTGCTGCTTTGGGAAGAAGCATCCTACTATGTTCCTGGCTGAATGGTTCACCTTGTACTTATGCTGTTAATCTCATCCTCATTCACTTCCTCTAAGGCCTTGCTCTATCAGATAGTCCTTAAGTTTCTTCCTCTTCATTGGCTCTTTCCCGTCCGCCTGTAAACATGCTCAAGTTTCATTAAGCATTCTCTTGCCGCTGCATCCTCATAAAGCTTCTGTTGCTTTCTGTCCCGTCTTTCACTGCCAATCTCACCACTTGCCTTCACCTCAGGGCATTCCGCCGGATTCTTCCTTCCATCTGAACTACCTTGCTTAAATCCACAGTCAGGCTTCCTTCTTTCTGTTCCTCTGCATTATTTGACACACACATTCTCTCCCTGACCACTGTCTCTCAGTTTCTTCTGCAAGCCGCAGTTCTTGCATTTCTACTTAAATGTAGGTCTTCCCCAGGCTTCCACCTTAACCTTTTTCGTGGTATATCCGCTTTGCCTGTGTGATATTATCTCCTTGTGAGGCTTCAGCTCTTCTCTTTACCGTTCTGATTACTTCCAAACTCATATATACTGCCCTGACCTCTTTTCTGATTCTTGATTTGTATTTCCAATTATCCGTTAAATATCTCTTCCTGGAGAATTCAGTGGTACTCCAAATATAACATGATTAAAGCCAAATCATCTTGTTTAATCCCCAAACTCTTCTTCAGTAGTTGTCATTCTCTCAGTTTTTCACATTAGAAGTCTCGAAGTCTCTCCTATCCATCACCATATCTGTCCCTTTTAATTCTAGAATACTCTCATCTTCCGTTTTCAGTGCTACCCACCCTAGGAGAGCAGCCTTACACAGCAGAATAAAAACATACATCTATAGCAGCATTCGATAGCAGACTTGGGAGTAGGATGGACCTGAGTTCAGATCCCTGCTGCCACTTACTAGCTGTGTGACCTGGGATGTGTTGTTTAGCTTCTCTTACCACTAAGTTGGGGGCAACAAAAGCCACCTGTTAGGATTGTTGTCAGGATTTACCAAAGTAAAGCACACAGTGTAAAAGCCCTGAGTAGACTGTTAAATTCGATTCCTAGCTAATCTACCTGCTTTGGGTTTCTCCTCTACTACACCTTACACGCCTCCACCAGAGTTTCTGAAATACAGTGGAATCATTTATTTTCCTGTGTCAAAAGTCTCTGGTAGCTTTCCTTGTTACTTCAAGAAACATTGAAACACCTTTGTCTTAGTTATATCAGTGAAGTAATCATACACTTTGTCATAGAAATCAGGACACTCTAGAGAGTGAAGGGAGACATTAACTGAACAGGAATCCAGGACAACAGCCATAAACTGGGACTGTCCCGGGAAAAGTGGGATGAATGGTCCTGAATGTATATGGTATTCTTCACAGCACATCCCGCAGCCTCATCTGCTGACATACCACACTGCTCCTCATTCCCGAAACACAGGTCCAGAATGCCTAGAATGCTCCCCTCCCTCCTCTTAAAAATAAATGTGTCTTTATCTCACTCTGCAGAATTAATCCCTCTTATATGGATTGTAATATTTTCCACATATCTGAAACGTAGAGTTTGCCATTTTATAAAAGTAATTGAACTCTTCCTCTCTCACTGACTTGTAGCTTCTAGGGCCAGTCTCACTTGTCTTTAAATTCCCAGGTATTGGGGCGCCTGGATGGCTCAGTTTGTTAAGCATTTGGGCATCCAACTCCGGGTCAGGTCATGATCTCACAGTTCATGGATTCGGGCCCCGCATTGGGTTCTATGCTGACAGCTCAGAGTCTAGAGCCTGTTTCGGATTTTGCGTCTCCCTCTCTTTCTCTGCCCCTCCCCCACCTGTGCTCTGTGTCTTTCTGTCTCAAAAATAAATAAACTATAAAAAATTTTCAAAAAATAAATCCCCAGGTATTGCATACTACATGGGATCTAGTTAGTATTCTGTAAATGTTTATTGAATAAATGAATTTGTTGGTTTGCCTTAGACAGTCCACATGTGAATAATTCAAGACGTTCTTTTTTAAATTTTTTAATTTTACTTATTTTTGAGAGAGAGAGAGAGAGAGTGGGGGAGGAGCAGAAAGAGGGAGACAGAATCTGAAGCAGATTCCAGGCTCTGAGCTGTCAGCACAGAGCCCGACGCGGGGCTTGAACTCATAAGCCACGAGATCATAATCTGAGCTGAAGTCGGAAGCTTAACCAACTGAGCCACCCAGGTGCCCCAATGTTCTTTTTTAAAATCTAGTCCTTGCCTTATTCCATAAAAGAATTTCTTACAGGAATTCATTAAATAATAGCATAAAACTGGATTTTTTCAGGGCACCAGGGTGGCTTAGCCAGTTAAGCATCCGAGTCTTGATTTCAGCTCAGGTCATGATCTTGCAGTTTGTGAGATCTCATAGTTTGTAAAATTCAGCCCCTGGTTGAAATTCTTTCTCCCCCCACCACTTTCTGCCCCTCCCTCATTCATGCTCTCTCTCTCTCTCTGTCTCTCAGAAGAAATATATAAACAAAAAAGAGTACATTTTGGTTTCTTTTCTTCTTTCATTTTATTTATCCCTACTGCACCTTGGGATGAAGTGTTTCTTAACCTGATGTTTGTTATTTTTTTTAGCCACAGTCCCCATTTTGCTATTTACCTTCCCACTGCCCATGCAATCCAGTTCTAACATGAAAGTAGAAGTCCTTTTGGGGACAAAAGCTTTTCTGATAAAAAAAGGAATAGATTTGGTTGGCTCATTTATTCACTACTCTTCCATTATCACTGTTGCTTCTTCATTGGAACACAAGAGTGGAACCTAGCCATGCAGCAGCCATCTGGCATCCATGAGGATGAAACCGCACACCAGGGCAATGGAATTGAAACTTGAGAAACCAGAGTCCCCAACAGCATCCTTAAGCCAGAGAACCAGTCTTTGTCTGGAACTGCAGGACTTGTTGCATACTAAACAATAAGCACCTGCTGTTAGTGGATTTTCTGCTTAATTGCAGCCAGACACATTCCTAACCGGTACACTCATCAGCCTAACTTCAAACATGTGCCTTAAAAGTTTTTTAAAGAAACCTTACTTATTTTTTAGAGACTAGTGTCTGTTCTTAAGATTAAAATAAATACACTTACTATTTTTCTATCTGGTATAGGTACAGAGTTGCCTTTCCTAAATTTTTCATATCCTGTCATTTGAAATAGTAACTTTTACATGTTGATCAATAATGTTAATGAAGGGGCACCTGGGTGGCTCAGCCGGTTGAGTGTCCGACTTTGGCTCAGGTCATGATCTTGCAGCTTGTGAGTTTGAGCCCTGTGCCAGGCTCTGTGCTGACAGCTCAGAGCCTGGAGCTTGCTTTGGATTCTATGTTTTTCTCTCTCTCTGTCCCTTCCCTGCTGGTGCGCTCTCTCTCTCTCTCTCTCTCTCTCTCTCTCTCTCAAAGTAAATAAACATTAAACAAACTTAAAAAAATGAATAACACTACTAAAAAATAAGAGTTTTTGTTTTAAAAAGCAAGTTTGCAGATGAGGCATTATTTTATTAGCACATATCTAAACACAGTAATGTCACTCCATTTTATTTTTTACTAAACTAATATTTTTAATAAGAGATCTTAACAATCTAAGGCTAAAGCACTCTGTTTTGTACACTTTAAGCATGCAAAGTAAAGAGAAAATATTACTTCTCTACTCTATAAGTTGCATGAAGTGTTCCTCTGGTAGTGGGTATGTGTGCCCTTGGTGCTCACCTGTTTTTAAAAGATCAATATTAAAGGATGTATTTATGATAACTGCATATTTTTGTTTAAAAAAATGTGTTTTCTAATTGAGGTAACAGATGTATCTCTCTGAAAATAATGTTGAGACATTTTTAGCTGTGCCAAGAAGATCTTATACTTTATATGATGGCATATGCTTTAATTACATCTATTTAACTGCATAGTATTAAGGAGAATGTTTATTTATTAAGCATTTGGTCAGCTTTGATGTGTTTTTCTCTTAG